TCGTGTATAACTTGTTTTAATTAAAAATAATGTTATACTGTCTTTGTAATAACAGTATATACAGTACATCTAAATTTACAGCAAAGTATATTTATAATTGCCTTGTGTTTAAATTTATCATTCTAACACTAACACAAAAAGTTCCCTTGAAGGAGCTCCATTGAGGCCCAAAAGCCAAGCAAAAAATAATTAAAGTAGAAAATCCAAAACAGATTAATCGGGGTATTCAATACGGAAAACATAAAAATGATACTGAAGAAATATACTCTAAATAAAACTGAAAATCGATATTAATGAACTGTTATTATCAGACGGACTTTAACTATAAACATTTAAACACTTTATATACAATTTTGAAAAACAAGAGCTCTCAATAGCACAGTGTCCTCAACTAGCCACAGTGATGGATAATGCAGAATTTTCTAACTTCAAAAAGGGTAATGATTCTGTCAAAATCTATGTTATAGTCCATGGTCCTCGGACATTGACTTCTTATTACTCTCATATATTACTCTAAAAAAATTAAGTAAATATAATTCTGAATACGTCAAAAATCCTCAGTGGAGTCCCTTTTAACACTTTGAGTAATACTGACTAACAGTATTAACTTGTACACATTATCATTTTGCATAATCATAATTTTTTTCTCACTTTTTTCAATTTTTACAATATAAAACAATCAAAGAAGGAGTCTCTAAAATAAAACATGTAAATGGTTCTCATCTCAATGAATAAAACAATTATGTATACCATTCACTTGTCCTATATATCATATAACAGGTATTCACATATAAAATTTACTATTCCTCTATATCATATACATGTAATCCTATATATCACTGGTAATAACATATACTGTGACCCTGTACTATATCTCATATAACTGGTATTAATTATACAATTCATTGTCCTTTACAACATATAACTGGTATTCATATATAACCATTCCATTGTTCTTTATATCATATAACTGGTATTTATAAATGCCATTCCCTTGTCCTATATATCATATAACTGGTATTTATAAATACCATTCCCTTGTCCTATATATCATATAACTGGTATTTATAAATACCATTCACTTTTCCTATATATTATATAACTTGTATTGATATATACACCATTATATATACCATTCCCTTATCCTACATACCATATAACTTTTTACCATTCATTTGTCCTTAATAACATATATTTGGTATTAATATAAACCATTTCATTGTCCTATTTATCATATAACTGGTATTAATATATACCATTCCTTGTCCTTTATATAATATAACTGGTATTTATATATACCTCTGTCCTATATATCATATAACTGGTATTTAAATTATATCAATCATTTGTCCTATATATCATATTTAGTATTTATAAATATCATTCACTTTCCCTATATATCATATAACTGGTATTTATATATACCCCTGTCCTATATATTGTATAACCGGTATTTATTTATAACATTCCATTATCCTATACACCATATAACTGGTATCAATATATATCATTCACTTGTCCTATGTATCGTGCAACTAGTATTTGTTTATACCATTACATTGTCCAATATATCATATAACAGATATTTATTTATTCAGTTACATTAATCTTTTACATCTTCTGCCCTTGTACATAATGATATAACTGGTATTTAAATATACCCGATTCCCTTGTTCTTTATCTCATATAACTGGGCAGCGTTTTACTAACATTGCGTAAGTTTTTACGTAAGAATTATCGTAACTTTACGCTTACGTTTAAACTTACGTAAATCGTAAGTGCGTTTCACAAAACTTCCGTAAGTTTTTCCGTAGACTTACGTTAAAATAGTGCGTAACTCTTGAAAGAAGGTTTTCAGAATAATTAAGTCCATAAGGAGGCGTTTTAGTAATATTTAATAACCGCAAACATTTTTGAAAAAGGCTAAACTGGTATTTCGTAGAGTCATCTACGGACTCTCATGAATGTTGCTGAGCAATTCGTATTTTTAAGGGCATATTGTGCCAACGGTCATCCATCATGCAGGGGTTTCTCCCGAATTTTAATACATTTATAGAGTAGAAAGGAAACCCCCATATGACCCATCATGGAAGATATTGAAAGGGTTTTAGTTTGTTTTGAGAAGTAAAAAAACTGTAATGTCCGCAAGTGAAAAATATGGATGTTTTCTCATTTTTATATGAACTATTTAAGCTTATTGAAACAGCCAACATTTAAATAAAATATATTTTTATTTCTATTTATTTATTTTTATTTTATTTTATTTATTTATTTTATGTCTATCAAGTAAAGAAAACCCTTTGATTTTTAAAGATTTTACGCTGAAACATGCCTAAAATATGCGTAAGAAAGATCACACAAAAACGCCACATGCAAACAAAAGATATTCACGATTTTATCTTAGTGAAGTAATGATATCTGAATATTTGCAATAAAAAACATTTGCAACAGATAATTTCATGTACATTTTCTAATCATACTATTTAATAAACATATATAGAGGATATTCAAGTTTTTACTATAAATACAGGATTTATTTTCATCGATTGGTATGAAAATAAATATTTTATGAGAGACGTTAGCCACGAGTGATATATGATAATTTTCATACCACAAGATGAAAATAAATCCTGTAATTATAGAAGGAATTTTCTGTTTATTATATACATTTTTCTCTTTTCTGACATCACATTTAAAAAGAATTTCCCTCAAATTTTGTATATTGGCTGAATTAAGTCCACCTGTGAAAATATGGAAAATATGCTTCACAGCAGTGAAAATACGGAAAATGAAAATATCCATTTTATTCATAAATATTTCTCAATATTTAATTTAAAAGTATATAATGAAAAACTTTTCTGAGTTTCAATCAATATTATATGTCATTTATAAAATTCTCAATAAATCTACATATAGCATCAAAAGCTCGTGAAGTTGAAATAATAAAAAACACAACATAAACAAACATAAATAACTGATTTATAATACTTTGGGTTGAGGTCAATCACGACTAAGGGCGGTATGGGGTACCAATATAATTTTGGAGAAGAAGACAGTAATTAAAAGACTTTAAACTGATAGGAAGACTTCCATATTCGTATTTTTTTATATGTTTTTTATTAAATATAATTTTTAATAGGCCCGTAAAGCTACATTACCCTTTCCTTACTTAGACTTAGAGCCGCTTTCCCCATTTAAATATATTACAAATCACATCCGCCTCTAAAATTTTCGCTTTCCTGCTCTGCCATTATTCATAGATGATGTCAGTCTTACTTACGTAAGTTTTAAGTCAACAAATTTTAAGCGTAACTATACGTAAAAACTTACGAAATTCTTACTTACGCAAATTTTTAGTAAAACGCCTTTACGTAAAAAAATCAGACGTAAGTTAAAACTTACGTAAATCTTAGGCGTAAGTACGTTAGTAAAACGCTGCCCTGGTATTTATATATACCATTCCATTGCCATACATATTTATATGACTGGTATTTGCATGTTATCTTTTACTTCTTCTAACTTTTCTGACCATGTAAATTACATTAAACATCTGTTTTATATTTTCATTCAATTTATTTATTCATTAATTTATTTACTTGTTTATTTTCAAATCTTTTTATGCATTATAATTAGAACATTACTTTTTTCGAATCATATTTCTTTTCACAAACTATCTCTGCTCTTTAAGAAATAACCTTTACCTTTATCCAGATTAATATATTTTGTCTTTTATATTTCAGTGCATTTCTGTCATTTTTTTTATTTAAATACACATTTGAATATTACTTTCATCAATTTCAATATGATAACAATGACCAGAAATTAATAATTAATGAACTGTTTTTGCTGATTGTTATCTATCATATTGCATTACATTCATTACTTAACATATCAATATGTAACTTTAGTATTATTATTTTTTTGCTGATAATGTTTATTTTAATAAATATGTCTTTTATCATGAAATAATTTAGATTAAGCACTATGTGAATTGCATTTATTCTCTCTCACTATGTTAAAAATTCAGATCATTTTTTGTTGAAAATGAAAACCCAAGTTTTCATCTCTTTTAAAATGCAATAATTTAGTTTAAACACTATGTTAACTACATGTATTCTATCTCACTTTGATAAAAATTCAGGTCATTTTCTTTTTTGTCAAAAATGAACAAAAAAATTATCTCTTTTAACATGCAATAATTTAGTTTAAATACTACCTGTATACTTTATCACTTTTTTGTTGAAAATTCAAAGTTATAACCATCATGTTTAACATGAAATAACTGATCCTTATCCCTTACATATTGTCTAGCAACATTTCCCTTTCCTCTTCTAAACCCTTGTGATACCAATGTAAACATATCATTATTTAACTCATCACCATCTTCTGTTATATAACAGCCCCTTACACTCACATCTACAGTATGAGGAATATCAGGAAGACTATCAACAAACTTTTGCCATGTTGTCAAATTCATTATGACATTTTGAAGCTCAATGTTCTTTAAACTCTTCATCTCTAAAGGTAACTGTATTATATTGCCAGTTAACCTACACAGCCATAACTCAAGCTTACTGAGATTGTGTAACAATGGTAATACTGTGACTAGTCTCTTTGTTATGTTGGTATGATATAATTGAGATTTATTGTAATAATCTCCATACAATACAAGTTCTTTTAATTTGTTAGATTTTCTAATAATATCAAATATTTTCTCATAATTACTATCTTTCAATTGACTAAATGTAAATATTTCAAGGTTTGTAGTATCAGCATCTATCACACTAACAGTATGTCTCACATAAAGGTACTGAAGTTGTTGATGTTTTGATAAATTTACATCATGCTGCTTCCTACACTCACATTTAACATTATAAAGATGTATTTGTTCAAGATGACTGGTTCTCTCAAGAAAATTACAAAATGTAGTAGTATCATCATGACTCATTGTTATATCTAAATTATACACTCATACTTATTGCTACAAGATTGATCATACTAGGTAGGTAACTAACAACTGTTTTACACACTGGGTAATACTTGGGTAAGACATAAGCAAGAGACAGAGATTTTAATGTTAAAGTATTTACTTTAATTGTCTCAGAAACACAATTGTTTATCTCATCAATCCTCTGTTTATTACTCTGTGTACTATCACTTTGTGTACTAAATAACCTTTGAGATTCAGATTCATATCTTATTTCAATTTTTTCAAGATGATGAAACATTGGTAAATATTTTGTAAATTTAACATTTTTTGTGTTGATGTCATCTACATTAATAGACAGAACAGAGTCAGGAACAATTTGATGCTGATCAATACCTGAACAAACAATATCACAATACTGACCCATCTATCAATGACCAAATCTCCTATATAAAATACAGGATTACTTCCTATACTACATGTTGCATTGAATTCTTCCATTGACTCAAACATAAGCTTTTGAATATCAGTAATACAACTATGATCCCTATAAATGCTACTATTTATTGTTCTCCTGTATTCCTGAACACGAGAGTCTTCTGACACAGTATCATATATGTATTTTGAAACATGTGTTGCTAATCTAGGTTCTAGACCACATAGCATAATGATGACATTTGACTGCTCTAATATGTCATTTACTGTTGAACATTTCTGAAAAACCTCATTAATAAACTTTTTGGCTAATTCATTATTTCCTGTACTATCTGACAAACCAATTTTTGCATTGAAATTGATACCGATATTCACTGCAGCCAGAAATTCTTGCATTGATTTGTGAATGAAAGAGAACACAGAGCTTTTAGGTTTGGATACAGAAAAAGAAGGACATTTATCTTCTGTCAAAATTCCCAGTTTCAGACATGTTTCTCGCATTTCATGTGATATTTTTAAATCATCAAACACAGATTTGTCAAATGTTAAGGACTTATCCTTTGGATAATTGAACAATGTCTCATAAGCCAAGTATGACACACCATATATAAGATGACTATTTAATCTACATATCTCTACATCTGTTAAATACTGAGGGAGTTCAACATTCTGAGAACTTTCCATACATTCTGTATTATTTCCTAAAGTTTTATTGAAATTCCAGGTGAAATAAAGTTCTAACATACCAGTATAAATAGCACACCTTGAGGTTTTATCAAGTTTACCATCACACCATAGACAAACCAATTGCTGCAGCATAATTGGTACCTGTTTCAGGCCAACCACAGAACGTACCTTAAGCTTTTGTTCACACTCACTAGGATCTAATGATTCGTTCAACGCTGTTATTGTTTTCTCAATCATTTCTTTTTCATGTGTTTCATCAAACCCCTTTAATTTCAATAATTGATGTATCTCTCTATTACTTACTCTCAAACTGTGAATTTTCCATGGTCGTGATGTAGTAACAATGGTGTATTTCTTTGTAAAGTCACGTTCAGGAAGGCCTGCCTGGAACTCATTTCTAGTCTCACTGTCAAAAGACCATTCATCTAAACCATCAAGCAAAATAATTATCTTTTCAGAATCATTTTCCAGAAGTTTACTTAAATTTTTTATCTTATCATATCGCATTTCAAGCATTTCTTGGATACTTCGGATCTTTATGTTATGTCTAAGAGAAATATAAAACATAAAATCAAATTTCTTCATTTCCTTGACTCCTTCAAACTCATCATCTGTATTGGGTCCATCACTGTGTGCCATACACCAACAGTTGATCAAATATTTACAGAAACTACTCTTACCAGACCCTGCATCTCCAACAACATAAATAAATTTCTGTGGTTCCCTGTTCTTTGTGAAAATCTCTGACATGGACTCTATTTCTTTCTCCTCAGACTCCCTTCTGTTCTTTTCTATCTTATTTGTTATAGTGGGTCTTATATAAATGTCACTGAAGTTATAATTTTCTTCATCTGGTTGTAAAGGTATTGCTGATACTTTAAGTACATCACTGCGATAATGTTCCATCAATTGAGTACGACAAACTGAAATTTATTGAGCAGTCCTTAAAATCAGAAATATTTACAAATAATCTTAACATAACAAGATTCCCTCATAACAAGATCAAAAAGGGAAAAAACATTTGAAGAGCCAAGGGTGACCTTAACCTTGAGCTGGTAAGGCAGTGGCCTTGGTTCAGCACATTGCCATCAGGTGATCAATGCCAAGTTTGTAGAAAATCCTTGACAAGTGTAGAATTTATAAAGCAGAGACGAACATGTTTGATGTATGACTTTTGACCTTCAACTTTTGACCTTGAACTGGGACAGCTGTGGCATGGCTTTTCATGTTGCAGTAAACAGTTATGCCAATTTAAAAAAGAGGGCCATGATGGCCCTGAATTCACTCACCTGTATATAAGCCCCCTGGACAGGGCCAATTTTAACCCAAAGGCTTTTGTTTGAACAAACTTAGTAGGCACCTATTTGAAGATGTTTCATGATAAATATCTATGCCCTAGCTAAAGCAATGACCCTGCCCCTCTGGGCGGGCCAATTTTGTCCCCAGGGCTTTTATTTGAACAAACTTGGTAGACACTCACTAGATGATTATTCATGCTTAATATCTAAACTCTAGCTCTTTGGGTTTTTTAAAAGAAGATTTTTTAAGTTTTAACTATATACATATAAGGAAAATCAATGATCCCCAGGGCGGGGCCAATTTTAACCCCAGGGCCCTTATTTGAAGAAAAATGGTAGACACCCATTAGAAGATGTTTCATGCTAAATATCTTAGCTCTAGCTCTAAAGATTTAAAAAAAATAGATTTTAAAATAAATAGTTTTTACTATATACATTAAGGGAAAAACAATGACCCCTTTGGGCGTGGCCAATTTTGCACTAAGGGCTCTTATTTGAACAAACTTGGTAGACACCCACTAGAAGATGTTTCATGCTTTATAGCTAACCTCTAGCTATTTGGGTTTTTTAAAAGAAGATTTTTTAAGTTTTTACTATATACATAAAGGGAATAACAATGACCCCCTGGGGCAGGGCAAATTTTGACCCAAGGGCTTTTATTTGAACAAACTTTGTAGACACCCACTAGAAGATGTTTCATGCTTAATAGCTTAATAGCTATTTGGGTTTCTTAAAAGAAGATTTTTTAAGTTTTTACTATATACAAATAAGGAAAATCAATCACCCCGTGAGGCGGGGCCAATTTTGACCCCAGGGCATTTATTTGAACAAAATTGATAGACACTGACAAGATGATGTTTCATGCCAAATATTTAGGCTCTAGCTCTTACGATTTTCTAAAAGAAAATATTTTAAGTTTTTTCTTTCGGTAATCATGGCAACCAGAGTTCTGCTTGGAATTAAATTCTTTGAACAATTTTTAAAATTGACTATTCCTGTTAAGTTTGGATGAAATTGGCTTAGCAGTCTATAAGGAGATGTCATTTCAAGTAAAAGTTTACAGACACCGGATGGATAGACACCGGACGAAAAGCGATCACAAAAGCTCACCATGTCACTTATTGACAGGTGAGCAAAAAATTTTTTTCAAAGGATATATGATGCATAAAGGGAAGAGGACAATGTTTCATATTTGACCTTTGACCTCCAAAGATGACCTTGACCTTTTGCAAACAAAGCACAGACATTGATTTTGCACATTGCCTTGTTGAGGCATGTTTAAGGAAAATCACACTCGGGGTATAGAATTTATAGAGAAAAAGAAAAAAAAGTTTGATGTTTGGCATTTGTCCTCCAAGGGGGATATTGACCCGATGGAAACAAATAGACGGAATGACTGACCTAATTATGCCACAAAGTTATTCCAGTATAGCACCAACCACATTATGTGATAGAGTGTAATCAAATGTTAATTGCATAAATTTAATAATATTATAAATTTAATGATATTGTATGATCCTGAGTACTAAATAACTATATAAATTTCTAAAATAATAAAGTCCATTGATCTTCATCTGTTTTTCTTTTTCTATTTTATATTAATGGCAATATCATACACTTGTATGTACACCATCAAAACAAATATTTACTTACCTAACTTGGTTTGCTCATACTCTGCCTGACTTTGACCTGAGGAAGTTTCTGTCTTAATTTTTGCCATTTCCTGCAAAAACAAATCATCTTCTTTACTCCAAAAAAAGACATTTTAGTTCAAAACTAATCAACAAGATGTTTGTTATTAAGTTTAAAAATATCCATGGTATGTACAGAATTGTGTACATATTTTTATTTCATTTTTATATTTTAGCAAAATAACCACCATGATCATATTTAATCACTCGCCCAAAATTCTTTGTAAGAAAATGCTCTGCAATAAAGGAGTAGGTCATCGGGTCACATTTTATATTCTTAAAGAAAAAAATTGTTTCGAAGTGGTACAAATTTGAAGCTAAAATTATCAACATGATTATAAAAGTTTATAGTTCTATACCTTATTTAATAACAAAATCTGTCCCTGGACAACAAACTCAACATTTCTCAGTGCTGAATTGTGTAAACTGAGCAATGATTGAAGAAAATCCTTCAACGGGTAAGGTAAAACCCTAACATAACAAACAAGATATATTATAATATTTTACCTTTACTTGTAGCCTTAACAATGAGCCAGTATAGTTAACATTGAACTTTTAAGTGTGACTTTCACCATGAACCAGCTTAGCCAACATTTAACCTTTAAGCGTGACTACCTTGGACTGAATATTTAGGGAGAAGTCACTTCTCCCTTCAGGAAAAATAGGGAGAAGTTTTGAAATTTAGAGAGAAGTGATCATCAAATCGAGTTATATCATTGGATTTTTTTCCTAATTTTATTTCACAAAACATACATGTACACCTTTATATGTACATGCATATAAAATATACATGTATATGTCACGGAAAATAAACAAATGACTGTGTATTAATTTTTGAAAATCGCTTTGATGATATTTAATGAAGTACTAGTTGCTCAATAACGTTTATTAAAGCATTTGATTTACATCAACACAACATTTTTGTAGGTTCAACAGTTTCTGACTCTTAACTTTTAAATGCATTTAATTAAGAAGAAAAGTTCTTTAATTCATAATAATTCATAATAATTATCCAAATTCTATCAATTTACATCAGTTATAATGATGAATATTACTATCATAAACGTAATGATGATAACAAGAATCTAAATGGACCGGCAAATGTACATGGGACATCGTAAATCAAACGGGACATATAGAGGAAATTGTAAATCAAACAGAATGTTTAGGGAATATTGTAAATCAAACAGGACATATAGGGGAAATTTAAATCAAACAAAGCGTTTAGGGGATATTGTAAATCAAACAGGACATATAGGGGAATTTGTAAATCAAACAAAACGTTTAGGGAATATTGTAAATCAAACAAAACATACAGGGGATATTGTAAACAAGAGGGCCATCGCTCTGGTCGCTCACCAGAAACAACTGTTTTTTAGTGTTAGAAAGCTCAACTTTAACTTGCCCATGTAGCTATATACCTTACAACATTGATTGTTTTTTTCCTTCATAATAAACCATATGGCCAAGATGACCCTAGATCATTCATATGGCCCACCATTGGGCCAAGTGTATTCCTATGAGACTATGTAGAATAAATGCAGAATAATTGACCAATAGAGCAAGGGTAATTTTGATAGGACTTTTTTCATAACTTTTGTGAATGAATACACAAAATGTCACATGCAAAATATGTAAGGTGAAGATGTTTGAAGTAACAATGTTTCTATACATTCTATATGTTAATATAACTGTACCTAAAAATGACAATAGGTAAATCAATGTAAAAAATATCAAAAGAAGGTCAGCTGATATCAAAATTCAATAAGCATCACAAATTACACCCCTTATCCAAATAACAAGACTGTATGTCAATAAACAAGAAAGTAGGTCAAATGATATCAAAGAAATCAAAGCAGGTCAGCTGATATGAAAATTCAATTCAGCATCAGAAATTACACCCCTTGTCCAAATATAAAGTCTATACATAAAAAAATCACATAAGTGATATCTGATATCTCAACTGATATCAACTTTCAACTATGGACATGAAACAAGGTTCAACAATGTCTCCCAAAATTAATTAAAATGTGCTTTCTCCAAGTTTGAATCCAATTCAATAAAGACTAAAAAAATTAAAACAATTTTAACAGAATTTAATCGCGAGTGGGATGTGTCTCCTTGTGAACAATAAATTTTAGGAGAAATGGCCAGGACAAAAATGAAATATGAAAACTAACTCAAAAAATAATAAGTGCAGAGCAGCAGTTTCTGTGCACTGCACTTCTTATCAATAAGATCTATCTTTCTATGAAGTTTCAAGTCCATATCTTTTAAAATTTATGAGAAATAATCTGGACAAAAATAAAGTATGAAAATTAATAAAGGGTAATAACTCACAAATAAGATATGCAGAGTACCGGTTCTTGTACACTGCACTTTTTCTTAATGAGATATATCATCCTATGAAGTTTCATGTCCATAGCTTTCATACTTGAGGAGAAATGACCAGGACAAAAATAAAGTATAAAAATTAACAAAGGGCAATAACTCAAAAAATAAGAAATGCAGAGTATCAGTTCTTGTGCACTGCACTTCTTCTTAATGAGATCTATCATCCTATGAAGTTTCAAGTCCATAGCTTTTATACTTTCCGAGAAATGCCCCGGACAAAAATTAAGTATGAAAATTAACAAAGGGCCATAACTCAAAAAATAATAAGTGCAGAGCAGCAGTTTCTGTGCACTGCAATTCTTATCAGAAAGATCTATCATTCTATGAAGTTTCAAGTCCGTATCTTTTAAAATTTATGAGAAATAGCCTGGACAAAATTAAAGTATGAAAATTAACAAAGGGCAATAACTCAAAAATTAAGAACTGCAGAGTACTGGTCCTTATGCACTGCACTTCGGATTATTGAAAGCATGCATATCAAGTTTGAAGTCAATTAGACTTATAGTGACTGAGTTATGCTCCGGACAAACTTTAGGGGACGCCGACACCGCCAACATAAGTAACCCTTATATGTCGCCTTTTCAAGGCGACACAAAAAATGAGCATACAAACTCATCTTTGTTATTAAAGTGCAGAAAACAAAATCTTTCTTTTGACATAATTTTATTTCCTGGAGAAAAATTCTGTTCACTGACCTTCCACTGACCCTATAGACAGTTTCTGATGCAATCAGTGTATCCAAATTATAGGGCAGATTTTATGCTTAACAAGATTGCATTTGTGAAAAAAAATCAGAACTTTATTTTTTCTATACCATTGAACTTTGCCATTGTGCATGTCTAGTGAGTTTTGGGATCAGGGTTTTATTTAAGCATGTAAAATGAAAAACTATGTGCAGATATGTTTACAGTTCAGATACACGCATAATAATTGATTCAATGTGAAAGTATTCAAACTTGAAAAAAAAAAGCATTTACTGTATAACATAGCTGTATACTACCTTTTCAATTAAGTATTACCTATTTCTGAAAACATTTATGATAAATCATCACTATAAAGTTTGTTGTTAATCATTATGTTCAAGTGATTTTGTAAATATCAAGTTTTCTCTCCCCATTGGTCATGACCTCAAATAATTTCATCAGCAAACAGGTCATTACTCCCAGCTTAGAATAATTGCATAACAGATCACATTTATGAAAGACATTCCAACATAAGTTGTTTCCCTTTCATCAAATTTCTTATTTGATCATACTTGCTACACAGTCTCTTTGTAAATATAAAATAAACATCTTTCAACTTCACACAAAGCTGTGTTTTAAATTCTACAAACTATAGGAGGTTACAATATAAATATAAAGTGTCATAAAAAAACTGGCACTTATTTTTTAAGAAAAGACCAATTTTACTAGACCCGTAATAGGGCACACAGCTTCCAATAGATAATTATACATTCTTTTGTTCAAATTGGAAATACTTGGTAAAAATTACATAAATTTCAATAAAGTTATGTGATAAAAATATTTTACCCAAGGATGAGCATAGTATATCTTTAAACTATAATTTGAAGAAATGCCATGGCCTGGGGCATTTTAGCTAATCTAATTAATATGAGAAAATTTGATAGAAGACAACATAAACTCGCTACAGACAAAGTTTGCCAATCATCAATCTTTGACTTCCATACAAGATAATGTTTAAAGACTTATCTATTTATAGCTCTAGAAGCCTTTAAAAGGGGCAAATCAAATTAATATGGGCCAATTTGATAAAAGACTACCTAAGAATGCTAAAGACAAAATTTGGTGATCATCCATCCATTAGTTTTGTAGAAAGAGACCTTTAAAGGTTTTTTTTAATTTTAGCTATAGAGGCCTCTAAAAGGGGCCAATTAAATTAATATTAGCAAACTTATTAAAAGTCTACCTATGAATGCCACAGACAAAGTTTGGTGATGATCCATCATTTACTTTAGTAGAAGAAGGTGTTTGAACATTTTTCTATCTTTAGTTTTAGCAGCCCCTAAAAGGGGCCAATCAAATTAATATGAGCAAACTAGATTAAAGACTACCCAAGAATGCTACAGACAAAGTTTGGTGATCATCCATCCATTAGTTCTGTAGAAGAAGATGTTTAAAGGTTTTTCTATTTTTATTGGTTCTGTAGAAGAAGATGTTTAAAGGTTTTTCTATTGTTAGCCCTAGAGACCCCTAAAAGGGGCCACTCAAATTCATATGAGCAAACTTGATAAAAGACTACCCAAGAATGCTACAGACAAAGTTTGGTGATCATCCATCCATTAGTTCTGTAGAAGAAGATGTTTAAAGGTTTTTCTATTTTTAGCTCTACTGACCCCTAAAAGGGGCCAATTGAAATGACATGAGCAAATTCAAGTGTGAATTTCACAAGGATGCTACAGACCAAATTTGAAGTAAATCTGCCCAGCAGTTTAAGAGAAGAAGACGATTGTTGACGCATGACGACGGACGCCGGAGTATCCCCCTTTGATACTAATAGCTCACCCTGAGCCTTCAGCTCTGGTGAGCTAATAAGACACAAATATTTACGTTTGAGGTAACTTAATTATCAATTAGCTAGCTTTTTATCATCTGCTGCATTCATATCAGGGTCTTTCACAGCTTATATTTACCGAATTATCAATGCGCTATTTTTAGCGATGTGGATTTCCAAGTGTGAATTCCAAATGGAGCTTTTGGCCTGGCTTCAGCATGTGTGCTAATTACGTCAGACATTTCATAGAGATTTTAGGGCGACTAGAATTTTGCTTTTCAGATCATATAGGGCGAAGTGGAAATATTTACAGCGAAGTTTTTAAGAATGACGTTATTTTAAATCAAAATTCAAACAATATATTTTGCAGCAAATAATAATAGCTATATACACTTCATACCCATTGTACATGGGATGAATCGGGTTGCCTTTCAAGGTAATTGGCTACATACTCAGATTTAAAGGTACATTGCCTCCAGATGAGTCAAAATATTTCAATGGGAAAATGTACTAAGATGATCATGTAAGGAAAAGTAAATAGTTTCAAGATTTAAGATTCAAGTAATATTTTACATATAATGTGCGATTAATGACCGATTTTTCAGTATTTTTCAGTATTTACAACTATTTTTCACTTGCGTTACTAACGCAGTAAATGCTATTTATGCATATTTTGACCACTTTTTGGTAATTTGCCTGGTTTGTAAGTGCCATTGATAATGTGTAAATTTTGGTTATTTTACAATATTACACATTCAAATACATTTTCAAAATCGTCACGAAAATCACGAATCTGGAGGCGCGCTGCTTTAATACCTTTGTCACAAGAACTTAAATTATAAAGTTTTTTTCTTAACAATTAACATATTATCTTTATCTTCTTTAATGCAAAGATGCAAATACAGGTGTGACATACATCATTTAGTTGTTTTACCTCTTTCTGTTCTGAAACAAGAGTCTCTAGAACAGTAAATTT